AGTCTGTCTCATTTTTGCCATCAGTTTCTCCTCTGCTGCCTATTCTCCAGCTGTTCCAATGTAGAGCATCTGAAAGTGGTTGCTCGCCTCAATTTGCATTGTGGATTCTGGGGGCTCTTTCATATGTCAGTAACACGCTGCTGCTTCTCTTTGTTCTTTTACATCTCCTGCACCAGTTTCTCATGCTTCTGATTGAGGAAGTCCTTTATATTTTCCTCTGATACTGTACAGGAGAGAGATTTGTAGTTCCAGCCCTTGAACCTTTTCCTCCAAGATGGAACACAGCTTGTAGCTGGTGCAGATGAAGTCATGTTGTTCCTCAGGGAAGAATGTAAACATGGTGTGTCTCATGCAAATGACAATTGCCAATTTATTATCTATTTTGTCCCCTTACTCCTTGGCATATGGGCAGTGGGAAGGGAAAAAAAGAAAAAACACAACCTCCTATTTACTTCTGGCTCCCTCTTTAGGCACTCCTGCAGTCCCTTTTGTTTCTCTTATGTTTTCAAGAGGCTGCCTTTTATTAACCTTCTAGGCCTGAGCCTGCCTGGTTCACACCTGACCTCAGTCAGCTACACAAGCCCCACTCCGTACACGATTGCAAATGCATAGTTAGACAGGGCTACAAAACAGACTAGATGAGTACACTGTCACCACAAAAAACACAGCCCATAAGCTAGTCTTGCCACTGAACTATTCCTTCACTCTGCAGTTCTTAGGCAAACTATATTTGTTTACTCTTCACTGTATTTGTAACTTCCTGCCAAGCTTGAATATTATGTAAAGAGCAATAGATATATGCTTGAGAGAAAATCTTTCTGTAGCAATTATTACATATAATGGGCAGTTTGCTATATGGCCCAAACTAGAAAAATTGTTAGTTTCTTATGTTTGAACTAAAGTTTGCATTCATCTTTAATCCTTAAATATCCTTTTAAAAGTTCTAGAAATCACTATGTTGCGTTCTTTCTCCAACAATTAGCCTTGATTAAAGCTGTGAATCTAGTTTTTCTTCTGTTCTTTATCAGTTCATCAGCATTAGTAATATATAGCACCTAATGGATAGATACTCTTTCAGGTCAATCCTTCATTAATTCAGTTTTTCTTCCCTAACAAGGTTTTTTCAAATGCCTCAACTCTTTAGGAGGTATGTGGGAGGGAAAGGGAGGATATACAACACAGAGTCACTTCTGCTTTGCTCATAACTTCTACAGTCCAATCATTAGCAAACTGAAATTAAGTGTTTTTTCTCCTTCACTCTTAGACTTCCCTGTGTAGCAAAGGTAAACATCTAACCAATTTAGCAATCTAAGTTATCTCTTTTTAAACTTTAGTAAAAAGGTTCTATGTGTGATATAATAACTTGACTTAACTATAAGTGCAAGTAAATCTTTTCTTTACTGTTTTGGTAACTTCTTTAAAGCATCTTTTGTGAAATTCTACTTGTCCAGAACAAATCCATTGTTTTTCATAAAGGAAACAAATATCAGGATGGTGAATATTTGATCACAATAGCCAAGGTATAATAGTGTATTTTGCATAGGAGCTGGTAAATGTTCATGATGGCTTTTAAAACTAAAAAATATCAACTTTGTTTTTATGAGAATGGAAAAGCTAATTTGTCACTTAGTAATCTGGAACCTGAGTTTTGAATGAAAGTAGGTTCTTCAGCTTTCTCCACTGTGCTTGCTCCACAAGCTTGGTGAGAGTCAGTAAGGAGGAAAAATGAACCTACCAACTAAACTGATAGTTCCATTTGCTATATATAAAACAGGGTGGGGTAGGACTCTGTTTGATTTCAGTAGAAGAGAATTAGTGCTGGATTGTGGTAGTTTGCAGAAATTAAGCTAGTATTTTTTTTCTTTAGGCATATATGTATGCTTTGGGATTTAAGGCTTTTAAAAAAACATGTAGCTCCTATGATAATAAAGAAACTGTTCAGATTTTGGTGACCTACAGTTGTTCAGTTTCTTCTGGGAAAATTTGCGCTTTTCTAGCAGAAACCACAACTAAACAAGTGTTGAGGATTTTTCTCCCAGAGCAAAAATAGCCACTCCAGGAAGAAAGTAACCTGGGTTAAATCACTCCCAGGAGAGTTTATCCTGATAAAGCAAATGTTCTGAGAAAGCAAATTTACCCTTCTGAGAAGAGCCTTAGTACAGTCCTCCAGCATCCCAAGGTGCTTCTTCCTTCTTGACAAGAGACAGCATGCTGGTTGGGTTGCATTCTACTACTCCAGCTGAGCAGGGAGCAGAAACTTCCCCTTCACAATCCCACATTGTGCTGCAGGGAGATGCAAGCTGACCCTGAACAGCAGTGTGAGTTGGCCAGTCAGGGCTGCACTGTGCACTGCTATCATCTGTTGCTAGGCAGACAAAGGGAGCCTACAGAGCATGCTGATTTGTGTGCACAGGGTTCCTCTTGCTGCTAGCATCAGCACTGTAAGCTCTGTGTTCTTCAAGGGCTCAGAATTTGAATGTCTGTCCAAGCATTTCTGGGTAAATGTTTGTTTGTTTTTAAACCAGTGGAACAAATCCAAGATGCAGGTCACTTGAATGTGCCATATGCAGCCCTTGAAAGCTAAGTAATGCAGATGTGAAATGGTAGTCCTGACGTGTGAATTGGTTCCATTCACCTCAGTGCTGTTTGACCATAACATCCATTAAGAATGATTTTTAAAATGGTAAAATAATTACTCTATTTTACAAATACCTGTATCTATCATTGTTGCATTTTTTAATCAAACAAATATACATTTTTATACAGATTTATCTAAAAAAAAAAACCAATACAAATAACACTGGGGGTGGGAAATATGTGGCCCCAGGGCCTGGTCCAGGAGCAGGACAGAGCCACAGGCAACTTGGAGTGGGGGATGAGAGCCTGCTCCCTGCCTCTGCAGGCACTCCCTGGAGGGATCAGGCTCCATGGGCAACATGTCAGAGAGGCATGGTGGTGGGACAGGTCCCCTTTCCCCCAGATTTGTGCACCCACAGTGGAGCATGAGGCTGCAACCTGGCTGGCCTGGCACTGAGCCACCTTTGCAGCCCACTGGGTGGGACCCGGTGCAGGAGGGTAGAGCAGGGCAGTGAGACTCACTGATGCTGCTGCTGCTGCCAAGATCCCCCTGCCAGCTGCACTGTCATGGAGTAACGCTATGCTGCCAGCATCACAAGTAGTAACAAACTGTGGGGGGAAAAGCTTCACTGCCCTTGTTTCCTGCCACCCTCCTGCACCGGGGTCCCACTTGCTGAGCTGTGGAGGCAGCCCAGTGCCAGTCTGGCCAGGCTGCAGCCCCATGCCCTGCTGTAGGTGCACACACCTGGTGTGGGGGGGGCACATGCCCTCCTATACCGGCTTCAACACATTGCCTGTAGCATCACCTATGGTCAGGTATCCCCCCTGCCCCATACATACTTCTCCTGCCCCAAACACTGGGGGGCTGGGGTTGGGGGGCAACAAGTCAGGAGTAAGGGACCCTAGCGGGGCTGGAGAGGGTAGAGGCTGTGGGTTGGGAGTTAGGGACACTGGGAGGGCTGGGGGCTGCGAGTTGGGAGTGGGGGGGACCAGCATATCAGGGCTGCTCAGTGCCACAAGCAGTGGGGGGGGTCAGCCTCAGCTGGACCTACGCCTTGGTGAGTGAAGGGGGCAGGGGGAGCTCTGATTTTCCGTGATAAATAACCCAAAATCAAATGCCAAAATTTATAGATATTTAGAATTTATTTTATTATAATGATTGAGGCACTGGTAGGCTTCCAAATTGCTTTAAAATTGTAAATATATTAATGAAACAGTGCTCAATTGATACCTATATATGTAGTGGAGTTTCATTTTAATCATGGAAAAACATGGATTTTGGGGGTTTTAATCAGAATTTGGTGTGGTGTTTAAATCAGAGAATTCTGGATTTTTAAACAGAGAAAACCAGGATCCCTATTATCACTTACTCAGAACATCTTAAACCTGGTAAGAAAAATGAATAATTTTCATCTCCATCTCTTCATTGATTAATTGAGGTGCGAGTGGGCCAACAAGGTTATGTAGATTACATGATGGCACATCTGTCTGATTAAAAAAACAAGCAAAGCTCTATTGACACCCCCTTCCCCCCCACTCCCCCTGCTGCAACAGTCTTGAGTGGGTTTAACAAGAGTCCTCAGTCAGCTGGCTGTGCTGGGGTGAGGGTCCTGGGTCCCTGTCTCTCCACTAATTTGGTGTTTCTTGGGTTCGGAGAGAGAGAGATGGATGACTGATGTTTTTCACTGTCTTTCTATATTTCCTGGTGTGATGTCACCGTAGGGTAGGTGGTTGCTACCCTACTTTATCTTTCTAGGCAGTTTTATTTTTCTAAGCAATATTTACATTTGTATGCCAATTTTTTATGCCAACTTTAGATGCTACAAACCTGTTTTGCTCCTTATTTCTAAAGTTGTTTTCTTGTTTTGCCTTTAATTGGACGTTTTGCTTTGATTTGTTGCTCTACTATTCGGGATTATTCCCATTCACCCAAAAGGATTCTGGGAGTCTTGCCACTTATGTGAAATAGTTACACCAGCCTGTATTTTCCTCTCTACACCTGTGTCCCTTCTCAAAAGGAGTTGCCAGTGTTTTCATTCTGCGTAGGAGTTACAAAAAAAAAAAAAAAAAAGATTAAAATAAATCTCACGGTTTTCAAGTAGGCATTAGTGATTGAAAGGAAAATAGGTAAGTTGTAAAAGTGATAGAGACATTTTGCTCTAGGGGTCAGAGCAAAATACATAGCCACATCCAGACTTGATCCTTCAATGTCGCCTAACCTTACTATCTTCCACAGTTGTTGTATTCCTGTTAGGCAGTTGTGATTGTGGGTATTGCCTGTTAGGCTGCTATTTAACTTTTATTATATAGAAATTTAATTTTCACCAACTCCAGATTTTGAATGATTTTATTAGCTTGTGGGTGCTTCTGCAAAGATCACTAATGAATGCTAAAACAAACCTTTATTTCTTTATGCCCTATAGGCAAATTGAAACTTGCTGTGCAAACCAAGATATAGAACCTGATGACAGGAGACCACAAAGGAGGAGTAACGAAAGAGCTACTTATGAAGACAGAGAAGATTATGATCAGTCATCGTGGCACCATCGTGGCCCATCACAGAACAACTGGAAATGGAAAGTTGATGACTTTATTAATCCTAGACAAAGCAAATTCCCTCAGTCTGTGAGGAACCTTAATACAAACAGGCACCCTAGTAGTCCAAGAGGGCGCTCTGGATGGCACCAAAATAGTTCCGGAGGGCCTCCTAATTGGCATCATGGCCATGGGAATTCTGGAAGTGTTTGGCATGCAGGAGGAAGCACATCAAACTGGCATGGTGCACCGGGAAGAAATTCCAACTGGCATTCTGAAGGAGCAGGTGGTTTTTCAACTTGGCATTCTAACAACTGTGGAGGAAACTGGAAATCTAATTCTCATGGTGGAAATAGCTGGAATTTTGGTGGCTCAGGAGATAAATATGCATTAGGAAGAAACAGGCCTGCAAATACTAGCTCCAAGCCAGAAGATGTAAGCATTACCTGGAAAACCCCAAATAAATATACCCCCAAAAAGTACACATGGCTTTCACAGAAAAATGACAGCACTGGCAATGTGTTGCCTTGTGGTGGTTCAGCAGATAATAGGAGTAATTCATTGGATTTTACTAGTGATGCACTCTCTGAAGGAAGTTTACTGGATTTTGCAATGTCTGAGCAACCTGAGAGCAAAATTTCCAAGATCAGTGGCAAAAGTAGTAGCCCTTCCAGAGATAAAATGCATCGTTGGTCTCCTTATCCCTCGCAGAAAGCTGTAGATCAGCAGCCAGGGCCTGAAGACAGTGTTTCTAAAACCTTAGAGAAAACAGATACAGTATGTACACCTCTATTTGAGCCACCCATGAAAATGAAGGATTGTGAAAATAATGTAGCTAGGCTGAAAAAATGGGCAGAGTCTTCTTGTTATAAAGCTACCTCTGATCATCTTAATACTCACAAAATGCTGACAGACTCTACCAGTGAAGGAAGACCTGATCAGGATGATGGCAAAAGTAACAGGATGCCATCACTGAAATCCCCTCTCCTGAATCTTCCAGGCCTTAAGTCCTTTTTACAAAATCAAGACCCAAAGACGCAGAATCTATTGAAAAATGTCAGAATTCTCTTATCACACACTGGAGAATGTGAGAATCATCTGAATGCACTAAACTTGGAAACTAACTGCTCCTCCTCTTATATGTCCAAGCTGCATAGTATGTGTACTCATAGCTTAAAAAGCAACAGAAATGTGCTTGACAGTGATCAGAATGAGCCTATTAATAATCAGAGTGAAAAACAGCAAAAAACTAAAGAAGATATGCGATCCAATCATTCTTTGCAAAATTCTTTAAGCTCCTACAAAGATACAGAGATCAAACAAAATGATGATCAAAACACAGAAGGAATTTCAAAAACTGATAAATCTACTTTAGATGAGGCGAGTGATGAGGAACCAGCAGGGAGTGAAAAGTCTGAATTAGGAATTGAAAAGTTTGATGTTTGTTTACCAGGTGACCCTGTGGAGTATGAACATGCTAGTGCTAGAAAGAAAAATGACACAGGAGCATTAAGTAAATCTCCAAATTCAAATATTGTCACTGATAATCAGAAAGGTTCTGAATTTCAAATGGAAAGTGCAGTGTCTCCATCAGGCCCTAAACACCACTTGGATTTGGATTTGAAAGCCCCTCATGGGGGTGAAGGTGACGAGAATCCTATTAAGTCAAGTGAGCATTTTGAAATGGAAAGCTTTGAAAACCATTCGGATCATGAACTTCAAAAAGGAGGCAACCAATCTTCAGGCCCCTTGCTTCCTGACTTAAGCAAACTTGGCCTCCCTGCTTCCCTTCAAAGAGACCTGACCAGACACATTACTTTGAAGAGCAAAAGTGGGGGACATCTTCCTGAACCCAATCTCAACAGTGCACGTCGCATTCGAAACGTCAGTGGTCATAGAAAGAGTGAAACTGAGAAGGAGTCTGGACTTAAACCAACCTTGAGGCAGATTCTTAGTGCATCCCGAAGACACGTAAACTGGGAGCAAGTCATTCAGCAGGTAACCAAGAAGAAACAAGAACTTGGCAAGGGTTTACCAAGGTTTGTAGCCTTTCTTCACCTTTTCAAATATATATATTCTCATACCAAGTCTTAATGACTCGATAGAGTCCAGTTACTAAATTCCAAAGATTAAAGTTGGAAAACAACAGAAATGAATGCTGCCATACCATATTTTCTTGGACAGACAGAATATATACACATTTTCATTAACACACACTAGTAAACTGATTTTTGAAACAGTGAATGGCTTTAGTCTATTAATGAAGACTTATTCCTGCTACTTCAAACAAGAATTCTACAAGTTTGTGACAGTGTTGCTGAATATTGGATATGCATGACATTTGTAACTTTTGATTGTTTTAAAGTTCTTTTAACTTGGGTAGTATATAGCTATAATTTGAACTGTACTTTTATTAAAATTGTTTAGTTAACTTGTAGGTTTTTGGCATGCATTCAAATTATGAGGACCGTTTTGTTTTTACAGGCAAGTTTTAATGCTTCCTTTTGCTTTAACAGTCGACTTCTATTTTGTGTGTGGGCAGTTTTTACAGGATTTCTAGATAAACTAATTCTAAAACGTATACCAAAGCTTTTTCTTAACCTTTATGTGGACACTGGTATTAAATGTCACTTGAGACTGCAACATCTTACAGTCTCTCCAACCTTGGCAGAAGTAATCATGTAATGACTATCTGTTTGAAAACCATACAAGGCAGGGGTTGGAAACCTCTGGCATGTGTGCCAGAGTGTGGTACACAAAGACATTTTGCTTGGCATGTGTGCCTCAAGGCAGACATTGGGAAGGGGCTGGGGCTGCTCAGTCACAACAAGGATCAGGCTATTCAAAGCTCCCCTACCATCTGCCCCCAAGCATGCGTACACCCACTGCCAGCAACAAGCCAGGCTGGGCTCTGGGTAGGCCCCTGCCACCCTCTACAGAGCCCAGGCTGCTTACAGCAGGGAGGCTTCAAGCCACTGCACCAAGGTCTGTGGAGCCCCAGTCCGACTTGTTACTGGTGGCGAGTGTACATGTGCCTCCAGGTGGAGGGTGGGGCCCTTAGCAGCTTTCCTGATGTCTGCCTCTGGCCTAACAACATTTTACAAGTCTATGTTCGGGGTGTTTTGGGCCCTTTAGCCAAAAATGTTGCAGGTCCCTGATATAAGGTTTACTTTTGTGTTTGTAAAATTCTATTTGGTTTATATCTAACCTATATAAAAGGTTAGATAGCTCTAGCACATGCTTCAGGTTAGTGCAGCTCAAGGACTTCTGTATAGTTCTTGCCTGATCTGTCAAGACTGCAGGTACTAGGATCAGAGATGCCAAACTGACTCTTGCTTAACCCCATAGCTAATGAAAATTTTGTTTTGTGCAACTACTGTTAGGAGTTGTCATCTAAGGAGCAGTGTGTAAATGGCAGTGCATTTAAACAAATGCTTGCTTCCCCCCATTGTCTTGTTTTACTATGTCCTGCTATTTTATTTGTGTTGGCTTTTCAGGTTTGGCATAGAGATGGTTCCCCTTGTTCAAAATGAACAGGAAGGTCTAGATTTAGATGAAGAACCTGACATATCCACTCTAGAAGGATTTCATTGGGAAGGGATTTCTATAACAGCAGCTGGATCAGCTAGGAAACGCAGCTTCTCTGAGAGCAGTGTGATTGTAGACAGGAATGTGTCTGCTTATGGCTTCTTCGCTGACCAAGCCACAGCAAAAGAATGTGAGCAAAGGCAAATCAATTCACATCACATAATGTCTGGATTTAAAGAAACTGCTGACACTGTAGCTGACCATAGCCAGGAGGCATGCTATCTTCCCTTGGCACCCTTCTTGTCTGAAAGAAGTGAAGCCATTACCAACGGAAGGAGAGACAGCCTACAGAATCTATCTGGTCTTTCAAGTCCCACAACAGTTACTGCAAAACAAGACCCAGAGAGCCCAGAAAATACAACATCACCTCTTGAAAATCAAAATACATTAGAGATCACAGGAGAAGGAAATGTTTTGGCTTCAAGTGGATCTTCAGCACTTGCAGTATCCAACTCTGTAGATGCAGCTACAGACAGTAGCTGTACATCTGGTACTGAGCAGAATGACAGCCAGGGAATTGGAAAGAAAAGAAGAGCAACTGGCGTAAGTGTAGTTCATTGCATCTTTGTCATGTTACCAGTAGTGTTTTACCTGGGGTGATGGTTTCTTTGAAAGGAGCTCTAAAAGGAGGAACTTGTTAAAGTGCAGTTATCTTGCAAGGATACCTAGGTGAATCCCGGATTTTGAAACGGGGGGGAGGGGCAGAATGCAGGAGCAGCAACTATCGCTTCAGGAGTGGCTGCACCTCCTGCCTTCAGCCTCCCCTAAACCTGTGGGCAGGCCGTGCCATGGGAACAATAGCCAGGGATCTTTTTTTTTATTTTTTTTATTTTTTTAAGTCCCTGAATCTGGTAAGAATCAATGTGTTGTTCCTGCCCTGCCCCCCCTCCCCAGCATCCCCTCTTTTCCCCTCTATGTTCACTGGCATCTCCTATCCTCTCCCTTTCCTCTTCTCTCCCTCTCTACTTACATTTCTGGGTGCAGGAAGGGGAGGCTCGATCATGGCTGCTGTCCCAGTCATTCCTGCACCACTCCAGCTAGGGCTGCAGGAAGCAACTGCACAAGGAGCCGGGTTCAGCCATGGATAGCACCAGTGGTTGCAGCAGGTGGGTTCCCCCTGCCTACTTTATTTCCTGGGCTACTAGGGGGAGCACCCAGGGGGACCAGGCAGGGACAGGAACCCCCTGCCCCTTCCTCTGGATGCAGAAAGGGGACATCTGC